GATTTGATGGGTGGGCTGGTTGGTGGATGAGGAATTGGCTGGTACGTTGCAGCCAGAGGGTAGTGGTCAACTGCTCCTTGCCCAGATGGACACCAGTGACAAGTGGTGTCCCTTAGGGATCTGTACTAGGACCAGTGCTGTTTATCATTTTCATCAGTGACAGACAGCAATATCAAGTGCACCCTCAGCAAGTCTGCAGACAACACCAAGCCGAGTGGTGCTGTTGACACACCAGAAGGATGGGATGCCATCCAGAGGGACCTGGACAAGCTTGAGAAGTGGGTCCATGTGAACCTCATGAGGTTCAACAAGGCTAAGTACAAGGTCCTGCACCTGGGTTGGGGCAACTCCCACTATCACAGGCTGGGGGATGAAAGAATTGAGAGCAGCCCTGAGAAGGACTTGGGGGTACTGGTGGATGAAAAGCTGGACATGAGCCAATGTGCACTCACAACCCAAAATGCCAACCATGTCCTGGGCTGCATCACAAGCAGCGTGGCCAGCAGGGCAAGGGAGAAGATTCTGCCCCTCTGCTCTGCAAGACCCCACCTAGAGTCTTGCATCCAGCTCTGGAGCCCTCAGCACAAGGACATGGAGCTGCTGGAGCAGGTCCAGAGGAGGGGTACAAAAATGGTCAGAGGGCTGAAACACCTCTCCTATGAGGAAAGGCTGCAAGAGTTGGGATTGTTCAGCCTGGGGAAGAGAAGGCTGCAGGAAGACGTTATTGCAGCCTTCTAGTACCTGAACGGGGCCTATAGGAAAGACAGGGAAAATCTTTTTAGCAAGGCCTGTTGCGACAGGACAAGGAGTAATGGTTTCAAACTAAGGGAGGGTAGATTTAGACTAGATATAAGGAAGAATTTTACAATGAGGAGGGTGAAACACTGGACCAAGTTTCCCAGAGAGGTAGTGGAGGCCCCATCCCTAGAAACATTCAAGGCCAGGATGGACAGGGCAATCTGATTTAGTTGAAGATATCCCTGCTCACTGCAGAGGGGTTGGGTTAGATGACCTCTAAAGTTCCCTTCCAACCGAAAATATTCTGTAATTCTATACTTTAGGCAAAGTAAAAGGTTTTCCAAGAGCTCAAACAGAGCTTGCTGTAGGACGGTCATTGTATAGTATAACAGTCATTTAGTAAGTAGTTGATCTTCAGGATGGTAATTGATAAACTTGACCTATGATTTACAAGGGAAGAAGAAAACTGGAAGTTATTCCAGTTTAACTTTCCAAAACTGAGAAGAAGTTTTACCTTTAGAGGTCGGATAGCTTCAGAGAACTTGGTCCACCAACTTTTCTCAATATACTCCAGATGTCTCTCTCTTCTTCGAAGTGTCCTTAGTCTCTCTTCTAGTTGTTGTACAGTCCGTCTGTCCCTCGATGACAGAGGCCGACCATCTCTGCACTGGTTACAAAAAATAGCACAAGAGATCACAGAACACTGAATCAAGAAAACAGACTTGACATCTAGTTTAATGAGTTACAACAACTCTAAAGACTTTTAGTATATAATTCACACTGTTTCTATGCATAGCAAGAAGATGAAGAGTAAAAGTCACAGGCTGCAACAAGAAGAATTCCTATTAGGTGGTAGAAAACACTCTCCACAATGAGGATGTTCAAAAATGTTAACAGGGAGGGCAGCCTTCATGTCTAGAAATGCTTAAAGTGCACTGATGCGATTTGAATAACCTGTTCTAACTTGAAAGGTGTCCTCGCTCTGCAGAGGGTCAAACATGATGACTTTCAGAGCTCCCTTCCAATCAAATTCCATGATTAAGTCAATATATTAAGCTTGGCATCTGCATTTCTTACCAGCATTTCACTACAGATACTTCACTATTTTTCTTGCACTTGCAACAGCAGAATGACTTGCAGTTCCAAAAATTAACCTTATGGAAATCCAAGAAAGAGGAACCATTACCTCAAGAATTAGCTGAGTGTACCAGACAAACATAACCACCAAACAAACAATTAAGAACATACGTTAATTCTGAGCCTCTAAATACTGAGCAAACGCCATTGCACTCTGTTGTAAATTGAGTAGCACATCCTTAAATCTCAATTATATGCTAATAAGAAAACACAACAAAATAGGCATTAGGTAGTTAAACCACAATTGTTTCTAACTGTATAACAAACTGAACCTTACATAAAAAAGATTCTTAGTTTAAGTACATCTACTACATATTTTTAAGTTTTGTAATTCCCTATTTATTTTTTTTCTTATTTTAAAAAACCCTTCCTTCAAATAGTGAAACACTTCACACCTGGTGAAGTTAAAGCAAATCTATTCCAAATAAAGCTCTCAAAAAGCTTACAAGACTAAGACCACATTCTAGGCACATGTAACACTTAAATTGGAGATCGCAATGTACTTTTATCAGGAACATATATTTTCCATATCCTGTATAGCACTTCAGTGGCTTGAACAAGACTTTTTGAAAACAGTCCAAGCTCCCAAGCTGCAAGTCCAAGCTTCAATTATTGAAGACTAATGAAATGAGTACAAATAGCAGAAGATCATACTACATACTGAATCCTTCCATTAGATTAAGTTGCATACTTTCATACTGAGAGTAATGTACAGTGAAAACTAGAAGTAACACTCACTTTCTTCACATCTTCATGCAAATGTAACTGAAGAACTACAATTTCTGTGACAGACTGAGGCAGAATCCTGACCATAGTCCATAAATCACTGGAAATCAGTTTATACTGATGGTCACATTAAAATATAGACCTAATTTAAGGACTTTCTACTTCTTGATCCTATTTGTTAGCTAGATTGAACAACCAGACTAGTTGCTTGCAATCTCTCATAATCCAATGTAGTCTTTTGTAACAAGTAATGCTCCATTTTTCAGGGGGTTTCTCTTTTTTCTTACATTGGTTTCAGTAATACAGATGCCTTTGTTGTAGTTATACTCTGTACAAAAATAAAATTTTACAGTTTAAACTGGGGTAAACTACTTTTTAGGTTTCATTACACAACAAGATTTCTAAAACACTGAAGGTGCCCACGCTGTGCAGAGGTAGCCAAGTATCAAAGGAAGACTGTTGGAACCGTTTGAGCACTGCTGACTTCTACTATCACAAGAGTACACAACAGCACAGACAGACTGCCAGGATTAAAGTGATGAATCTTAATGCCCTTCCCCTCCCAATTCAGGGCTGTGAAAACACTGGTCAAACCATTATCTGAAACGGGTTGCGAATAGGGAGAGCACCTTGTATGTAAAGGAGAAATCTTATCCTCCTTCAGCTTGTGCTGAGGTTGTTAAAAGTGTCCTGCTTATATGAGGCACAGTGTTCCACTGAGCTGCAAAGCCATTGTGGGTTTAAAAATGGTGTTAACATGCTAGGGATGTTTAAGATTCAGAACAGATTTCCACATGTACACTTCTCATAAGTCATGATCTGTAACAGCAACATACATTAACTGGGAAGTAAGAAAATCTGGGCCTGTTTTTTATTCATAAAGATGATTAATAGTTTGATGGATCTTACTCATGACATCTCCATGTGGCAAGTATCCAGTGCTGATAAATACATTGAGGAAGTATCAACAAATTGGATGCCATATTTGGTAGCAGACTACGCAAGGTTAATACTTTTAACTTCTACAAAGCATTTCTTCCATATAACCAAGCAGGACCAGAGAAGTTTGAGCTTAGCTCGTCAGCACCATTATTAGCTAGAGTAGAGTACCACACAAGTGATCACGATTGTTTCCAGATAACTCAAATAACTGCAAGTTAGTCACCTTGCTATTTGTTCTGGAACAAAAACTATCTACAGCATGACCACAAACTAGGAAGCAAGCAAGAAAAAAAATTCACTAAGAAAGTGAGAACAGTGAAGACCATACCTTTGATTTAATCCTTAATAAATGTTGCTCCACTTCTTCAATATCTTCAGTGTTCTCTAAAAGTTCATAAGCTGCACTGGTAGTTCCCTTAATCAAGTTTAGAGGCAAAGCTGACATACCATACGCCTAAAAAAGGAAACATACATACTCGAATTTTCTGCCATACATTTTCATCTGCTAAGGCTGCTGTATTTTGTAGCTATAAGGTATCACTGCTGGGTTTTTTTCCTCACCCTCCTGCTACAGACTCTAAGGCAATCAAGTCTTTTCCTTTAAGTAAGACATAATAAGCACACTATGCAGATTCCAGTGTCCCACATTGTTCCGATGGTACTTATGTGTCTCATGATCACTGGGACAACAGCATGTGTTATTATATAAGTATAGCCCACTGGAGATTTATCAAGCTAACCCTTGGGGTTTTTTTGTCAAATCATTTAGCTTCCAAAACCTTAACTTTCCCACTTCAGATAATAGTCAAAACACTGTCTAATGCAGGAATTCCTAGATACTGAACTTGAATAGTTTTAGAAGCAAAATATGCACAATTTCTTTGCAGTTAGTCATCTTCAACTTACTTTTAAAATGAAATTATGTAGAAAATACCTGATTTACTACAAAAATCTGCAGTAAAGAGACACAGCAGAAGTAGGTGAACACCTAAACTCAGTTATATTCCAAGACTGCTTCCCATTCACATTCATAAATTTTGTTGGCATTTACTCCTAGTTGCAAATCCTCTACTACTCAAAGTGTTTGTCAGCTTCTACACCAGCACTATGGCCTTATTTTTCCAATGCAAAGTCTGTAAGCTTTCCACTAACATGAGAAGAAAAAGACATGAGACAAGCTAAACAAGAAAAAAATGCCACTATTTCCTCCCTGCTTCCCTGCAAGTCTTCTAGATCTAGAGGCCAAGGTCAGGAGTTTCTCAAAGCCATTTGGAGACATTAGCCATAGGCTTTTTATTTGCTTTACTGTGGGTGGGAGGCTGGGACATCTGAACATTCACTAACTTCAGAAATGAGCAGTTTTCTAGATTTGCACAGGAATACCACTCCCTCTGTCAAGCACAGCTTTACACTTCTTACTGAGAATAGATTTAACAAAAATGCCAGTGTGTTATAAGCATCACCATACATGCTGTCAAATCACATGAGCTTTTTCTGCACAGGACTCAATTTGACCCACTTAAGAACCTACATAGACATACTAATGCCTCATGCATTGTACTCCAAGCAAGACACCACCCATTTTTTTAGTGTATTTTTCAACATGCCATATACCCTGCCATCAACGCCCATTTCTACGCCTGTTTTAAAAAAAGATGTCTTATTTACTATTACTGTAGCTCAAAAACACATTAACAATTTAAATTAATAACCTTTTGAAAATAAACATGTAACACTGAACTCACAAACTTCAGTTTCACTCTGCAAGCGAAAACACTTGTTATTTCAAGAAACATTACTCCATGTATTAGGCTACAAAAACATGAAACAGAAGTTTAGCAGTCTCACAACCTTGTTCACTGAATTAAATTTCTTATGTTCAGAGTGAGTGTTCCCAGTAAATTGTTGGAACAGCATCGGTTAAGTTCAACAAGCAGACAGCATATGTGTCTCAACAGGCTTCAAACCCAAGGAAACAGTGGTACCTGTTAAATCACTTTAAAGTATTTAAGAGCAGGAGAAAAGTATTTTCCTTCAAATATTCCTTGAAGTACACATTAGCAAAGAACACATTCAGCTATATCTTTAACAGCTTGCACTGCATGACTTTTTTTGCATAGCTATAAAATATTAGAACTGGTTTTACCATAGACTCCTAGAGAATAACGTAGGCTACTAGCTATAAGCTCAGTATTTCAGGACTTCACAGCTGACAGCCTCATTTGTCACCCAAAACACAGCTAAAATAGTATTTGCAGCACTGTTTACAGACTGATCCAAATAAGATCAAACTTCTTTTTTTCTTTAGCTACAAAAGGTAACTGGCAAATTCAGTCCCTATGTTAGAGCTTTTTGCTGTAAAAGCTATACTAGGGAAAAACATCTCTTGTTATCAGCTAGTGATGGCAACAAAACCTCATGCTTTCTAAGACATTCTAGAAGTTTTGGTGTGAACACAGCTATCCAACCACAGAAAGGCCTACCTACAAGATTAAGTATTTTAGGTAAGATTTTAACTTAGGCTGGACTTTACAACTCCATCCATAAATGTGGCTCAGGTCTCCCCTGAATGCTCTCTAAGGAGATGCTTTAAGCTGCTTTGTTATCTACAGGAGATGAAAAGCAGTCTCCCCTAATCCTCTTCTTCTCTAGGCTGGAGAACAAATTCCTTCAACTTTCTCATGGGTTGCACTCTCCAACTCTCTGCTATTACAAGCCTTCACAGGACACACTACAGTTTTCCAGTTTATTAAACCGGGGAACCAAAACCAGTATTCCCAGATGTGGCTTTGGAAGTGCCAAGTACAGTGCAATCATCAAATCCCTTGATCTACTGGCCTGGCCATGCTCTTGCTGATGCAAGCCAGGACACTGTTTGCTTTTCTACTGCAGGACCCATTGCTGGCTTATGCTCAGCTTGCTGTCCACTAGGACTTCCAGGTCATTTACAGCAGAGCCATCCCCCAGTCAGACCCCAGCATGAACTCCTGCTTGGAGTTAATCCATTCCAGGAGAAGGCCTTAACAGCTGTTGGCCAATCTTCCCACCTGTCAACATCTCTATGGTGGCTCCTCATTCTGTTGTATCTACTTCTCCCAGTTTGAGATCATTCTCAAACTTGATGACTGAATACTCAATCCTATCATCCAGATCATTATGATGACTGAATAGTGTTGGGCCCATATTGACCCTGAAGAACTCACTCAGGTCTGGCTGCCAGTACCATAACTCCAGAATTTAGGCAAAAGTGTAAACTCCTTTGAATTTCATAACTGGAACACAGGCTGCAATCTAACCAAGGTCCCTCTGTGGAACCCAAAACATTTCCAGCCAAGCCAAAAACATTTAGTATGTAGAAACACATGTAATAACAAGAGATTGCTATGACAACAGGCCTACACAATTTTACAGACCTAAGCTTAGAATCAGTTACAAGCAATTCACCATTAAGCAGAGGCTTTAAACAGCTATCATCAACTAGCAGATATCAAGCATTTACTCAACAGAAATAGATAAGGAATAAAATTCAGAGTTCTAAATATTCTAAATTTAAGTTTCCACAAACCAAACTGCAACTCTTAGTGATGCATTGTATTGCTTTTTACAGATGTGAATAACCTATTTGAACATCAAGCTTGCTCTAGTGATAAAGGCAATCCGAGTTCCTTCCTTGAATACAAAAGATGCTAATAATGAAATTAAGCAACCAAACCTCCCACCATCAGTGGGGAGAAAAGCCACATTGGTCCTTCAAGACATCAATATACAGAATGAAGGACAGAAAGATGAGTCTTCTCAACTGTGTCACAAGTCTGAACAGAAGCTGTATTAGCTCAGTTTCACGGCTGTATTTCCTTTCAGGCTGATACAGAAGTTCAAGGCGGCCCTGAACAAAGTTTTAATCCCCTGGGTTAGTGCAAGTGTTAAATTATTCATGAGCTATTATTTTGGGCATCTGCAACTCAACAAGCAAGTAACATATCAAAGATAGCACAAGAAAACAAATGCTGTATACTAAAGATGAGAGGCTCAGTCCTGAAACAAATTGTTGGTTCAAGTTCGGAATATGAATAAAAACAAATCAGAAGAACCTTTAAAGTAGCCAAGAGAAATTCATTTATATAATTTAATTCTGATAAAGCAATTAAGTGTTGATATATTTACACCACTGAAACAACAGTTTCCAGGACTTATTTTTAGGCAACCTTTGCCTAGAAGTGTTGTCAGATACAAGGCACTCCACTGAAGAGTAAAAACAGTCATCCCAATTTAACAGGCAATTACAGCATACATGGTTGTTGTTTTGCACATAGGTTCTTTAAGATGAACTGAATCTAGTACTAAACACTCACTGTTCAGCCTGGTATGTGATAACATATGCTGCAAGGTTAGGTCTTTAAAGTCTGAGGCTGCTATCTCTGCTGTTACTCAATGCCTTATCAGCTTAACTGAAACCCAATTTTATGGTAGGAGAAAAGAAATCTAAATTTACAGTTAAAACAACTTATTTTAGAGAACATTCCCCTCTTATATGAATCACTTGTAGGGATTCATGAGATCACCCTCTATCAGTTAGCTTAAGGGCTGGAAAGCCAAACCCTTAGCATGTTGTGAAAAGCTCACAACATACTAAGTACAAGTCAGAGGCACCATCTGTGAGCAGCTGTCTCATACTGATTTGAGAGTCTTCCCACAGGCAATAGAAATAATATCTCTGGATGGATGAAGTTTAAATATAAACTTCATGGGTTTCTTTAAGTAGGTGGCCTTCCACTCTAAAGCAGAAGAGAAAAAAACAGAACAACTTAAGCAAAGCAACAGAAAACCCAGCTTATCTGTTCTACAAAAAGAACAGTCTAAACAAAGCTCTTAAGACTTCTTGTTATTCACAGAAGCCGTAGCCAGGCCTGAGACAGGAATTTGCAAGTAAATCTGTCATCAGTAAAGCAGGAGCCTGTAACTCATACGAAAGCAACAATTAGTTCAATCCTGTTCATGCAGTATCAGCAGGCATTGAAGAACAGCGAGACAGCATCACAGAATCACAGAATGGTAGGGGTTGGAAGGGACCTCTGTGGGTCATCTGCACACCATTGAAGCCAAACATACTCTGTGCTCCAGACAGAGCACTAAAATACCTCACAGATTAAGCAAACTGGAAGTAATACTCATGCAATCTTCACTTCTACGTCCCTTTCCTTCCCATCCTGTCTGCAGCAGATCCAGCTATTCTCCTGTCATTCCACCATTAAGATTTAGAAGGTAGAGTTGCTGTTCTGATCCTTTGGTCTCTTGTAGACTCAGCATCTTACAACACTTCAGACTTGCAGAACTCACATAGCCTATGGCCAGATAACGGAATAATCTTTCTTATTGGTTGCCCGCTATGTTAATAGTCACTCATTAGCAGAAGATAGAAAACAAATGAAGTCAAAACAAGTTGTAAAAAAATCA